AACTGTTTTCTAAAGTGGCTGTACCATTTTACATTTCTATCAGCCATGCACGAGTAATGATTGAGTTTCTCTGCATCATCACCAATATTCCATGTTTTCACCAGTCCTTTTTTTAGCCATTCTGACGTGTGTGGTGATACCTCCTTATGCTTTTAGTTTGCATCTCCTGAATGACTAATGATGTTGAACATCTTTTCATGTGCTTCTTTGCCATCTGTATATTCAGTAACATGCCTGCTCATGTCTTTGGTCCATATTTTAACTGGACTTTTTTTACTAGTTCTTTATACATTCCAGACAATGTACATCAAATATATGGTTTCTCAATATTTTCTCACCAGCCGATAACTTGTCTCTTCATCCTCTTCACATGAACTTTTGCAGAACAAAAGTTTTTGATTTTGATGAAGTCCATTTTATCAATTTTTCCTTTTATGACTTTTGGTTTTAAGTCTAAGAGCTCTTTTCCTACTCCAAGGTGATGAAGATTTTCTGTTTGAGTCCAAAAATCTTCTAGTTCTATGTCTTACATTTAAGTCCATGATCCATGTTGAGTTCATTGTTGGATAAGCTGTGAAGCTTAGGCCAAGGTTTCTTTCTTTGCCTCCACATACCCAGTTGTTCCAGCACAACTTGTTGAAAAAGCTACCCTTCCTCCATCTGACTGATTTTGCCCCTTTGTCAAAAATCATTTGCACACATTTGTGTGGGTCTATTTCTGCGTCTTCCATTCCATTGATCTATATGTCTACCCACCAGTACCACCCTGTATGGATCACTGTAGCTATAGTTTTATGTATGTTTAGACTATGTTGTTGGTGCATGTAATTTACAGAATTATCTTCCTTGTAAATAAATTTTTTATCATTATGTGGTGACCTTTATCCCTAAAATGCTTATTGAATTAAAGCCTATACCATCTGATATTAATTTGTTTCCCAGGTATCTGTCACTATCCATTCTTCCTTTAATCTTTGGTAATATAATTCATGACTTATAGCTGGCCACAGGGCTACTGAGAATAAAAACTATATTCCTTCTTGAGTCAAGCATGTCCATGAAGTTCTGGCCAGTAGAATGTAAACAGTGCCTACAACATCTGCAAAGTGTCCTAAAACAGAGATCATGTGAAGATTTTTGTCCCTCCTTCCTGCTGGCTAGAATGTGGATGTAACGACTGGAACCTGAGCAGCCATCCTAGACCAGAAGATGGAAACATGGTACAAAGTGTGTGGGTCCCTGATGATTGAGAAGCAGTGTACCCACAGCTGACCACTTAGATTTGGACTTAGTTTATGTGGCAGAGAAACAAGCTTCTATCTTGTGTAAGCCCATTACTGAGTTTTCTCTTGTTTATTACCAAACCTAATTCTCACAAACTAGCTTTCTCTTTTTAAGGGCTTTTTTTAGAATAGTTTTGGGTTTACAGTAAAATTGAGAGGATGGTACAGAGATTTCCCATGTACTACCCACACACATACATAGCTCTCCCATTATCAACCTCACTCACCAGACGGTACAATTAGCTTTGTTTTCATTTCAATTATATATGACTGCAATATCAGAGACCCACCTACAGGGGCTTAAACAAATTTGAGGTTTCTTTGTCCTGCATAGATGTCCAGAGATGGGCAGTTCAGGGCTGGTGAGAGATCTCTGTGGTCACAAAAGACAAAGTCTCCTTTTATCTTTCTCCTGTCCTCACCACAGAGCTTTTATCCTCAAGATCACCGTACAGCTCAGGAAGGCTGCTACTGCTCCAACCCTCACTTCTGCATTTAAGGTAATAGGAAAGAGAAACAAGGGAAAACCAAAGGGACTCTTCTCAGTTCTCTGTCCACTTTGAAGGAGTCTTCACACAAGTACCATCTGCCAAATTTTGCTTACAACTCATTGGACCGGAAATAGTTAGCAAGGTCACAGCTAACTACAAAGGAAACCGGGAATGCAGTCTTTGGCTGGTTACAATATTTGAATAATCTTAGGGCTCTTTTAATATGGAAGAAGGGAAGAATGGATGTTAGATAAGCAACTGGATGCCTCTACCACAAGTGGTGTGTATATGCCCATCTGTCTACTTTAACATTTCTACGCTCTTACGTTTTCAGTATCTATCTTATAGGCAGCATGACGACTTTAATCTGTCTGGCCAGTACAGTCTGTTCTATATTTACTGTGATGGCTAGTGGACTTGGATGAATTTGTAACATGGGCTTTGTGTTTCTGCTTTCCTTTTTGTATTTTGTATTTTTGTCTCTTTCTCCTTTCCCTGTCATTGGCTAAAGGTTCCTCTTTTTCTTTTCTACTGATTTGTGAACTATAGAATCTCATTCTAATTTTTATTGGTTGTCCTTAATTTTTTAACAGTCATGCAAGATCAGAGTCTAAAAATCCTGTTTTATTTCTCCCAAACCATCCAGGGAGCTTTTCTGATTATCCTTTTAATGTAAGTGTTGTTATCATGTAGTGTTTTTTTTTTTTTTTGAGAGGGCATCTCATATTTATTGATCAAATGGTTGTTAACAACAATAAAATTCTGTATAGGGGATATGTAGTGTTTTATCTTCAACTTATACTGAACACATTCAACCCTAGTCACTCCTAGTGCTTAGTTTATTTCACAGTAACGCTTACTAAGGTCTCTTTACCAATTTACTTTCTCACTGCTGCTCTCGTATCCACTTCTTCCTTCTCAATTGAATTGCCATCCTTTGGAAACACCATTTGGGTCTGGGAGTGGTACGCTTACTGGGGCTCTGCCTGGAAATATCTTGACCCTCATTCCCTTCAATACTGGCTGCGTGTAATTCTAGGTGGAGAGGAGGTGGTTTCCCTCAAAATTTGAAATTGTTATTCTGTTCTGGTTTCTGGATGTCCGTCTGGTGTTTGTTCCTTTTTTTGGAGCTCTGCTTTCTGGTGTAAGGTAATCCTTGTTTTTGTCATCTATCATGTCACCAGGAGTAGATCTAGCTGTACTTCTCTGGACTTAGGCTTCGTGCACATGAGGATCTGTGTCTGCGATTGTTTCTGTGGAGAACTCTTGACTGTCATTGCTTTGCAGACTGCATTCTGCCTAGGCCCGCGCGTCCCAGCTTCTCTTTCGTACTGGTCCCCCGTCTGCCGTACACGGGGCAGCTTCTTCCCAGTGCTCCTCCAGTCTTGCTTCGGCTGGTTTATTCTGCGTTTTAACCGTTTGTTCCATTTATTTCAGTGCTCATGCTCTTCATGTCTAGAAGTTGCATTTGGTTCTCTTTGCTTTTCATGATGTCTTGTTCTTCTTTCTTGTTCTGGTTCCTGCTTTTATACGGATTGGATTTTCATCACCCTTGTTTCATGCTGGGTAGATTGTTCTCTTATCTCAGGCTCTGGATTGTGCCAGTCTTGTAGTTATTTCGTTCCCTTTGGACACTGGCGGGATTGTTTCTTACGTGTTTTGTGATGTTAGATGGTGAGTTGTCTCCAGGGTTTTGTTTTTTTTCCTCTGCAAGAATTTGCATGACAGAATTGAGTCCCAAGAGAGCGCTTGTGCTCGTGGCTGCCATTTGCCCAAAAATACCACAAGCCCAGGACTTTATACAGATTTCTTGCTGGGCAGTACCCACAAGTAAGTTCAGACTGTGTGTGAGCAGGAGGTATGGCCGTGGATTTTCCCATTGTCCCGGGAGACTTCTCGCACTCACGTTTCCCGTGTCCTTCCTCTGGAGCCGGGTAGCTCCTGGTTGGTTGGGGCTCCCCTCACCTCCCCTGCCCCTGGACCCTTTACCAAGGTGCAGCTTTGAGGGCCCCACACACAGCGGGCTCCCTCATGCTCCCCATCCCAAACCCACGCCTGGTCTCCTGTCCACACCGCGTGCTGGACCCGAAGCCCAAGCTGTTTTCAGACCTGTTCGCCCACAGCGGCAGCGCCTCAGCTCCTGTGCGAGCTTTTTCCCATTTCTGCTGCATGGGGGCCCCTCTTGCTGTCTTCATATTCCCCCCTGCAGTAAAACACTGCATTACATTGTACCCAGCATTTCAGATGTGGGTGGCTGCTCCTCTGCTTCCATTAGGAGCCCAGGAACTCTAACGTGATCCCTCAATATCCTCTGTAAAGGAACAGCACCTCCTCTGTTGGCTTGTTGTAAGGAGTTAAATGAGATAAAGCGGGTGAGACGCTGAGTACGGGGCCTGGTTCGTGGCAGGAACTCTTAAATACAAGTATCATCATTGTTACTGTAGGAAATCTGGAAAGCTTAAAAGAGCATAAGGAGAATAAATACTGTCCACTTTAGTATATCTAACCTTTATTCATACGTGCATTTGTATCTTAGAAGACAAAGGTAGGGCTCTACGTACAACTTTGCGTCGCCCACTCTCACTTGGTCTGTGTCTTAGCTCAGGCTGACCTCACAGACCACCACCGACTGGGGGGCTTGAACAGCAGACATTTATTTTGTCACGGTTCTGGAGGCTGGAAGCCTGAGGTTCGGGTGCCAGCAGGGCAGGTGTTCGTCAGGGGCCCTCGCCAGGCTTGCAGGCCTCTGCTGCTCTCTGTCCCACAGGGCACAGAGGGAGTGCAGGAGAGCGCCTCTCTGATCTGGTCCAGTGGGGGCCCCAATCCCATCCTGACAGCTCCCCTCATGGCCTCCTAACCCGAATCTGTCCCAAAGGCCCAGTCCCAGACAGCATCACAGTGTTGGTGGGGAGGGGAGGGCTTCAGCGTAAGCACTGGGGAGGATACAATTCAGTCTGTAGCAGTCACACTTCTCTATTTAACAGCTGCCCTCAGCTTGGAAGCCCAGATCTACAATCTTAGCAAAAGTGGGCTTGTCAGATTCATATTCTCCTCCTACAGAGTGCAGGCCGGCAGGAAGACGCAGGGCTGGGAGCACGGCGGGACCCAGAGAGCCCGCAAGCGTGTATGGCTGCGGTCTGGGGAAAAACTTGAGTGTTCCCGGCCCGCACCGGGTGCCAGGCCCAGTGGCCGCTCCTCTCACCACTGCCCACGTCCTCCCCTGCAGGCTGTCACGATGGGGTTTGAGATTTCTCCTCCAGTCACTTTTCAGCTCCAAGCTGGCTCAGGACCCGTGGTCCTCAGTGGCCAGGAATATCACTGTAAGTCCAAGCTGGGACCTGGGAAGGGTCTGAGGGCACAGTGCCCAGCACAAGGCCAAGGACATACTGGGCGCTCAATCACTTGAGGGATTTGTAAGTCGTTAGAAAATCCCCAAAGGCAACATCAGTGCGGGAGCCTGGACTGAAGGCCAGGCCACGAGTCCCAGTCTTCCTGCCCCTCGTCGCCCCTGCTCTGGGGGCCTCAGCCATCAGCTGTAAGACGAGGGTAGGGGTACACTTGGTTTCATCTGCAAAGAGTAGCTGTGAGGGAGAAATGGTATTCAGGGAAAGCAGGTAATGCCAAGCATGAACGCACCCTGAAAAATTACTGCTGTGAGGTGTGTAGCTGTAGTCGTAACATGGACCCTAGAAATCACTGTGCTCTGACGTTTCCTGTCCCTCTAGCTGGCCCCCTTCTCTGTCCAGCTGTGCCTCTTTCATCAGGGTGCTGTCCTGCCGGTCCCACTTCCCTTAGGATAAATGAATCCCGCAGCTGCTGTCTGAGGCTCCTCCCCACCCCACCCCACCTTCCCCTCACCCACCTGGCCCACCTCACCCTCGACCCCCACCCCTCCCAGTGTTAGCCCTCCAGGCCCGCCAGCCCCACCTCCCTCCCCCACCCCCAGCCCTCTGTGGCTGTCTGGATCCCCTACCCCACCCTAGCCTCTGCTGGTCAGGGAGGCCAGAAGGGGCCCCCAGGAGGTGGCAGGTGAACACTTCGGCTCCCGTGCTGGGACGCCTCAGATCTCTCCTGGGAAGAGGAGAAGGAGGAGGATGTGTCCCTGGAGGAGGAGAGCCCCTTCGGACAAGCCAAGAGGCCGGCGCCCCAGAGGCAGACCAGCGTCGCCGAGGTGAGGGAAAGGGCGCCCCGGAGGCCCCTGGGGAACCGGGCCGGGCCTCCGCGTTAGTGCACAGAGGCTGGGGCGAGGCCTGCCGGGGTCTGAGCGGGAGTCTGCTCCGGCCGGGCCTCGCCCTGACTCCCCCAATAATGCTTATGTTTGGTTTCCAGAAGAAAAGGGTGGAAGAAGAGGAGGAGGCAGCAAGGTGACTCTCTCTACCCACTAACTCAGCCACAGCCTTTAGCTGAGGTGTGCAGGGCTAGAAAGAGTGGGGTGCGTCTGGCATGTGTGCATGTATGTGGCCCCTGCGCGCCGGCACGACCTTTTTGGAAACTATTAAACTGTTCTTATCTTCTGACCTCATTCCACACGTGGCAATTCCTTCCAAAGAATATGGGAGAAATTACATGCACTACGAAACTTACCACTGCAAATAGTAGTGGTGAAAAAGGGAGCATTCTAAGTGTCTACCAATATAATAGTTGATTAAATAATATCGTTTTCTCAATGAAATGTTACATCTTGCCTGGGAAGAATGCAACCAGGAAATCATTTATAGAATTAAAAGAACAGGATATTAAATCATTTTTACCTAATTCACTTTTTTAGAAGAAAACAGAGTACTCAAAGGAGATACACCAAAATGTTAATATTGGTGGGAGCTAGTGATAAATAATGTATTCTCTTCTCTGTTATATCTTATGCAATGTGGTTAACATTACTTTTATAATGAAAAAGACATCTTTGTGATAAATAAAAGCAGATGGAAGCCTAAGAAGGCAAAGCATCTTGTTGAAAAAGAGTCAGAATGGCCCCTGGCAGGTGACGGGTGAATTCCACAGCCCCCATCTCCCCAGGCCACACCTGCTGCCTCCTGGAAGTGCCCAGGGCCTGCGGCCCGGGTGGGCCATTCGGTGGGCTGGGGACGACGAACAGTAGCTGAGCTTTCTTTCCCACCCATCTCCCACTCCTGTCCAACCCCACCCCTACTCCAGACCCAGTCTTAAAGACAAGAGCCTTGGGAGAAAGGTAAGTTCTGATTCAAGGGCTGGTCCTCCTAGTCGGGGAGAGGGGGGGGGGTGTCTCCAGGAAGGGGCCAGGACAGGGAGGGAGGGGGACACTGGAGCCCTCCCTTCTCTCCATAGGCCAAACCCACCAGCAAGCCTAAAAAGCTGGAATCCACGAAATGAGGAGCCAGGAGTAGCCTGGCTGCAGGGACCAGCACACAGAGTGGGCCTTCCTTGGGGTACCCAGCAGACCAGGGGTGCCCCTTCATCCAGTCCAAGTCTGAATTGACGGCAATGCTGAGGACAATACAGGAGCCTCTCACCCCAGCTCTCGGGCTTCAGCAGGACCTGGAGGGAAGAGCCCCGACCTCAGGGCCATAATAAAATTTGCTTTGCCGGAACCTTGCTTCCGCTGCCTCTCTTCCCTGGAGATGCCTTTCTTGCCTGCTGCAGTGAGCCCATGTGCCCAACAGAGGGCAGCCGTGTGCCAGAACATCCTGACCTGGTGGCCCAGCCCGGCCAGGCTGCAAGTCCAGCCCGCCATTCTGCCCTGCTTTTTTAAATCTCCCTCTCTTCTCCTGGCACCCCATTCCATCCCCTCCCACACCCCTTTGCTTTGGGGGAGAAACCAGGTGTCTCAACCCCTTGTCTAGCTTCAGCTTTCTACCCCTGGCCTTAGGGAGGGAGCCGGAGCAGGTGTGGGTCTTCCAGCATCCTCCAGTCTGCCTTCTACGAGGCCCCAGTTTTCCAAGTATGGAACTGAAGGGCCAGAGCTGCCCACCTTGGCCAGGACTGGCCTTGTTCCCTGTAGGTCAAATCCAGGGGTTTTCTCTCCTGGCTCTAAGCATGTCAGTGGGGTGTCAGACACACAGAGCATCTATTGGAACCTTAGGGGCACAGTGCTGGTCTCCTCCCAGGCCTGCATCCTGTTCAGGGTCAGCTCTAGCTCGCAGGGACCTTGCCTGCGTGAAGACCTGTGTCAGGCAGGAGCCCAGAAGCCTCTACATTCAAGGAAACCCTCCCGGAAAGGGAGGCAGGCTTTTCTGGGGCTCGGATGGGCTTCTTACAGGAGGTGGATGGGTAAACGTTTTCAGCTCCCTCCCATGCTAGGGCAACTCTCAGCCACAGGAACAGGGCCCAAGAAAGTGTTGGGGTGAGGCCTCCTGGAGAGGGGGCTCAAGCCTCCTGCCCCCTCCCAGGCCTGAAGAGCCACTCTGGAGCTGGATTCACTCGTGGTGACACGGATGGCCCCCAACTTGGGGTGATACTTGCAGGGCCCCTGCTGGCTTGTACCTGCTCCGGCCAGGCCTGAAGTGGGCCAGTGGGAACCTGGCCCTACCCTCTCTCCCCAGAACCCCCAAGTTTGGGTCCCAGAGGTTGAAGGTCTTTGAACAGCTACCCAGGGAGGTGAGTAGCTGGGCTTGAGTCTCCCCGTCCAGCTTTGGTCTCTCTCGGTGCCAGAAGAGGTAGGCAAGGGCAGGCTGGCATTCTTGCTGCTTGCTTTCTGTGCCCCATGAGACAGATGTGGGTGTTATCCCACCCTGCAACATGTGAGAACGAGCTACTGATCTCAGGGGTCATCCAGGAGTGACAAGGGACATCAGTTCCAGTCTGGCTCCAGCTGGGCAGCTGGCATTGACCATAGCTTCATGGCACAGCGACTAGGGGTGGACAAGACAAATCCATCACTTTTAAGTCACCCACGGGCTAGTGGAATCACAAAAGCCAACAACAAACTTTCAATTAACTGTCAAGTGCTTTGGAGGAAGTAAAACAGGCTAATCTCCAGGGTGGAAAAGTGCTGCTTGGTTAGATCTGAGGATGTCCTCAGAGGAGGCAAGGGACAAGAAGGGGGTGGTGGGCTATGTGAGGAGCTGGCAGAAGGACATCCCTAGGAGCAGGGACAGAGCGCGCAGAGGGCCTGGGGCAGAACAAGCCTGGAGGTGCAGAGGGAAAGGCAGGGGTGGCAGTCCTAAGGCCGTGAGCTGGGTGCTGCTCCGAGTGCCCTCCGTGGACTCCTTCCACCCTCACAACTGTGCCTTGAGGAGAGTGCTGTCAGCCCCACTTCTCAGATATGGAAAAGTGAGGCACAGGGAGGTGAAACACCTTGCCCTTACCTCACACAGCCAGTGAGGGAGCCAGGATCCACTCTGTGGATCTGGGGGAGAGATGGACGGTGGCCGGGGCACTAGGAAGCCTCGTACACAGAGCAGGGGTTGGAGTGGAGTCCCCTCTGCACTAAGAGGGCAGCGCCCGGGTACTGCAAAGGTGATTTCAGATGTTTTCTCCCCTTCAAGCCCCACCGAGGGCAAGTGCTGGGTCCCTCTGTGCGAGGGCGTGCAGCAGCTAAGCCATGGCACACTGATTTCCATGTGCTGGTGGGCAGTACGGTCATATTGTAAATATGGGGCTCTGCCTGCAATTCAGAGTGCCCTTCACCCTCCCCCACCCCAGCCCTTCTGTTTTTCAACAGGAAAAGGGTGGGCAGGGGTCGAAGCAGGTGGTGCCAAGTGGCAGGTCTGCAGGTGGCTCCGTGTCAGCACCAGCTAGGCTGTTAGAAGCAGGCGTGAGACGCCCCAACTGGGGTGTGTTGAACTTGGCACTAGGGGGTGGGGATTAACCACAGCAGCTCAAGCTAGTTTTTACTTATCAACTCCTGCCACCACCCCATAAATCTTAATGAACTATACCCTTCTTCCCCTGCCATCTCCTGCTAGTCAAGAGACAAAGTCAAGCTAGGTAAACTGAGGGTGGGCCACATAAGAGGGTCTCTGCCCCCTTCCTTGGTTCTTGGGGCACCTAATACTTTTCAAGGAGTGCCTCTTCTCTCAGTTGACATGGTGGCAGTTTTGACGGCATCAGTAGTAGCCATTTGATTTTTATAAATTAGAAAGCTGAGACCAGAGACTTGAGGGACTTGCCACAGGGCACAGAGCCTGTCAGGGCCAAGGGATGGGGGAAAATCCAGAGTCGGCCTGGAATGCTCTCCGTGCTGCCTCTGCCCTTGGCCTTCCCATGAGGTAAAGGAGCCACGTCAGAAGGCCAGGCCTGCGGGTGCAGAATGGGAAGGGCTACCCAGCCCTGGCCCAGAGTCCCCGGGCACAATCCCCCTGGCTGAGCCCTGAGGCTGAGCTTCACTGATGGCATGTGTTACCATGGAGACCAGGCTGGGCTGGGGACTGCGCTGGGGGCTGGCCAGTGGCTGCAGGCCCTTCCCCACTGATAGGAAGGACCCAGGTGCTCAGGCTCCTTGAGCCAAGACAGTGATTGGTGGAGCTCCTCACCCAGCCTCTCCTTACTGCCTCCTGCCCCCAGCGACCCCACTACTCCAGAACCTGTGGCCTGAGCTGCCTCCCCCAAGTGTCTCTGTGCTTGCCTGTGACCCAGGATTGAGGTTTACCTGGGAGTGGGAGCTGGAGAGGACGGGGGTGTGAGGTCCAAAGCTTCCCAGAACATAGAGCCAGCACCAGTCAGCCAAGTTTGATCAGTCCCCAGATCGTGGGATGAGTGTGGAAAATGAAAATGATCAGGAGCACCAGCCTGGGCAAAGGCAGGGGCACAGGTTGGGGCGTATGCGGAAACAACGCTGGGCATGGGTACCTGGTTCCTGTCCCTGCCGCGAGCTGACTGGCCCTGACCCTCCCTGGGCCTCATCCGGGAATGAGCAGGCCAGATCGCTTGAAGAATCTCTGCGATCCTTTCCAGGTTGACATTCTTTCCATCTGATTCCAGCCCTGGCCTCCCCCAGTCACAGGGCCTGCTCCAGCTCAGTGTGGCCCCAAGCCCGCCAACCCCTGCACCCTGTGGGGCGCCCAGGGGTGGAGCTGGCTCTGGGCAGGGCAGGAGGTATCCGTGGTGCTTGTCTGTGGGTGGGGCAGGGTGGCAGACAGCTTTGTGGATTGATCTAGCTCAGGAAGGTGAGAAGCAGCCTGGAGGGGAGAGATTCCCCTCCCACTCATCTCTGTAGGTAAATAAATCCACAGCCACCATTTCCCCCTCTCTTCCCATCCTGGAGGCACTGCAACCTCCAGGGAGCCCGGAGCTGAGGGGCAGGCCCCACTTCCCTGGCTGGAGGCTTCGCTCAGAGCCCCCCGAAGCAGAGTCTGCATCAGCCACTCTGAGTGTCTGGCCACCCGCTTCCAGGCCCTGGGACACTGCTGAGCCCCAGAGGGTGCGGACACAGTGGAAAGGCCCCAGATACAGCCCATGTGGGATGGAGAGGGCTTGGACTTTGGAAGCCTAGTTAGCCATCCACTAGCCGGGCCATTCTGCGCTGATTACCGACCAACGTCAGTTTCCTGTCTGCAGAATGGACCTGGTACACAGCAGCGTGGGACCGGAGGTCACATGCAGAGGCCGGTGGGCCCTTCATCCCAGGCAGCTGGCAGGGCACAGAAAAGGCGCCCTGAGCTGCTCCTACTCTGACTCCAAGCTCTAGGATGGCAGCTGCCCCTGGGCTGTGGAGTGAGGCCCAGGACCTATTCCACCTGTTGAGGCTGCTAAGTGCAGTTACCTCCGTTGGTCTTCCCACATCCTGGGGCATTTCTGTCCCCATCTCCCAGAGGAAAGTTGCTGGCCAGGGCACCAGCTCTTCCCTCAATCTGTCTTCTCAGAGCTGTCAGGCCAGCATGCAAGATTCCATCAGGGTCCTTCCCCGGCCCCAGCTGTGCCTCCCTCCTCACCCTGGCCCCCCAGTCTGTCGCACCCATTATTTGCTGCCAGCCAGGACAGCCTTAACACCTAGCCAGTGGCCAGCCAGCAGAGAGGGGGAGCAAGGGTGACAGGCAGTGGAAGCCACCGCTCCTAGCCAAGCCCACCGCCTGCCCCCAGGAGGGAAGCTCCTCCTTTTAAGGCTGCTTCTGGGAATTTCCAGCCCCTGAGCTAGACCAGCAACCCCGGGCCCAGACTGACACCTGTGGCTCACCCTTGCGGAGGTGGGGCACCAACGCTGAGGACGGGAGAAGCTGGCTCTGAGGAGGAGGAGGGCCCCGCAGGCCGGGGTGTGAGGGTCAGGCTTAAGGGAGAGACCCCAGGGGCTGGCCTCCTTATCCAGAAGCCTCCGGCCGCTCCATCCTCCGCACTGAGGCAGCCCAGCAAGAGGCTGGCAGCCCCCACCAGCCGCTGCCTAGCAGTCTCACTGGCCAGGAAGGTGGACACCTCACACCTCAGTCTCCCAATTACGCCCTCCCCCCTTCTCCTCCCCTCTTCTCTCTCCCCCTCCTCCCCCCTGTCTCTCCTCCTCTCCCCCACTGAAAACCTGTGGCTTGAAGAGACCTTGGCTTGTCTGGTACTCAACCCCTGGGGACTGCCCACATCTGCTCCTGAGTTTGGGGGCAGGGGGGCAACGGCCCCAAGAAATCTCTCCGGCGATGGGAGCCAGCCGCCTGCTGCCCAGCCTCACTCTGTAAGTGTGCTGTGCGTCTCTCCGACTGCAGTCTTGTTGCTGTTTCCAGCTGGGGGCAGCCCTAATGTTAGCGGGACTCCCACAGGCACAGCAGCGGGGCAGGGGGGTGGGCAGGCGGTGCCTGGGTGCGCCCTGGGAGGGCCTAAGCACTCACCCCT